TAAAGTTATAAATGTCCCTCTTTGTGGCATCATACACATTTTGATCTGTCATCGTTCCGTACAAAATATTTTCTAATTGTAGTATAATTCCTTTGACCAGTTAGTTTTAAGAAATTTATTAATTCCAGACATCTTAGGGATTTTCTAGTTACTTCTGTGTTTATTTCATTGTGATCAATTACTTTGTATAATTTGAATCTTTTTAAATTTGTTGAGACTTGCATTAAAATGCATATGGTAAATTTTGGAAAATGTTCCATATGTACTTGAAAACAGTACATATTCCGCAGTTTTAAGATAATATGCTCTCAAATACTGAAGAACACAAAATTATTAGACTGTTGAAATCATTCATATCTTTTCTGGTTTTTGTTTTTTGTCTCCTTGTGCTATCAGTTCCCAAGATAACTGGATTAAAAACATCCCGATATAATCTGTCCCCTTTTGTTCCATCATTTTTTTGCTTTATTTAACACATGTTATAAGGTACATATAAATTCACTGTTCTATCTTCCAGGTAGATGCCGGACTTAAATTCTATCTGTCTGGTATTAGTAAAGTTATCCCAACTTCCTTTTGTTTAGCAATTGTGTATCTTTTTCCATTCTTTTCTTTCAATTTTTCCAAATATTTTTAGATTTTTGTATCTCTTCTAAGCAGCATATGGCTAGGTTTTGCTTTATACAAAGTCCAAAAAATCCTTAGCTCTTCATTGAAATATTTAGTATCCTACATTTACTGTAATTTGGAATATTTATTCCCTTACATTTAGTGTAATTATTGACATATCTGGAGTTAAATACACTTCCTCCTTCCTTTACAAGTATCCCAACTAGACTTTGTCCTATTCCATTCCTTTCTTGTCTTCTTCCAAATCCATTAAGTAGTATTATTTTCCTTCCTATTAGCTTGTTAGATATGAAGTTCTACTTTTATTTTTGTTGCTTAATAATTACAGTATAAATCCTTAGTTATTAAGGTCTACTATAAACTACTTCTCTTACCAATTCCCACATGTAACAAAAACCCTAGTATTTTGAACATCATTTACCCTTCTTCCTGACTTATGAGATGTTATTATCATGCATTCAAATTTTATATCCATTTAAGCCTCTATTATTTTTATAGTTTAAAATAACAATTATTTCAATTTACTCTTAAGTTCTCTATTCATTCCAGTATCTGGGAATATTTTTCTTTTACTTCAATAGCATTTTCTTTTAGTATCTCCTTTACTGGAGTCTGTTCTTGTCAGATTCCTTTAACTCTTGTTTTTCTGAAAAATATCTTTATTTTGCTTTCATTTCTTAAAGATATTTCACTAGGTGCAAAATTTTAGGTTGATGATTACTTCCTTTCAGCAATTTGAAGACCATGTTTTCTAGATTTCATTTTTTCAGTTAAGAAATCAGTTGTCAGTCTAGGGGCACCTCGGTGGTTCAGTCAGTTAAGCATCTGCCTTGGGCTCAGGTCACAATCCCAAAAACCTGGGATTGAGCCCTGCATCAGGCTCCCTGCTCAGCAGGGAAGTCTGCTTCTCCCTCTCTCTCTCTCTCTGTTCCTTCCCCAGCACATGCTCTCTCTCATTCTCTCTCAAATAAATAAATAAAAGCATTAGGAAAGAAGGGAGGGAGGAAGGAGGGGAAGGAAGAAAGGAAGGAAGGGAGGAAGGAACAGAGAAAGGAAGGAATCAGTTGTCAGTCTTAATATTGTTTCTTTAAAGAGTATGACTTTTTTTCCCATTGGCTGCTTTAAAATTTTTCCCTTCATGTTTGGATTTTCATCACATGATATTTCTAAGTATACGTCTCTTTTTATTATGTTGCACATGGAAGTTTTCCAATTTGTAGCTTGATTTTTTTATCACTTTTGAAAATAGTCATTAAGACTTCAAATAGTGCTCTACATTATTTTCTAACTTTTCTTCCTCTGGACTCCAATTACATGCATGTTAGACCATTCTACAGGTCCTTAATATTTCCTTCCTTATTTTATTTTTCATTCTTCTCTTTCTTTATTTCAGTACGGGTATTTCGTTCTGATCTTCCATTTCATTAATTCCCTCCTCAGCTGTATCTAACCTGTTGTTAAACCCATCTAAGGAATTCTTAATTCATTTAATGTATTCTTCATTTCTAAAATTTCCATTTGATTCTTTAGTAAAAGTTTCCCCTTGTTTCCTAATACTTTCTACCTTTTATGTTAAAGTTTCTGTCTTAAAACACCATTATCCTACAGCTATGCTTCTAAAGGCTGTTTTCTTCCTATCTTGTCTTTTTCTAAGACTTATCATTGTTTTATTTTGTATCAGATATTGCATATGTTTTTTGAAGAAATAATTTGAGGCTCTGTGTGATATTATCTTCCTCAAGAGAGGATTTACTTATGTTCTACCAGCTCCTTAGTTTATGAGCAGATCACCATAATCCAATGATTCAAAGTAGACTTATCCACACTAGTAGGCCTAGAACTTTAGGGAGTAAACCAAATCCTTAAGTATGTAGCAAAGTCTATCTTCATTAGCACACTTGGAAATCCAATTTTATTCCTCCATATTAATTGACAAAAGCTCTGCTCAGTTTCTTAGACAGCTTTCAGGATTTATTATCATCTAAAGGGAAAATAGTTCCACAAAATGCCAATTTTACCTCCCTTGACATTCCACCTCTCCTAGATCTTGACCCACAGATTCTCACTGCTTCACAATTCTTAGGTGCCTAAAAAGATGTAATTCCTAATTCTTCTCAATGGAAAAAATATTCCAAAATAATCCATTATACCAATGAAAAAGAATTCCTCCAAACACCCATTTACTAATACTTCAACAAAGTAGCCTATCTATAAACTATATCTACTAAAAAATAAAACTAGTTCTGAGGTGATAAAAACTTCAAAATCAATCTGTACAACAGATATATACTAGTGACATTTTTTAATTATATCACATTTGACAAATAAACCTATACATACTAATTGCTATATGATAGCAAACTTTAAAGTTAAGCTAACAAGTATCAAAACTTTAAGAATAATAGAAAAATATTTTAGTACTCACTAATAATTTTATGATATTTTTTAAAAACACAGAAACCAGTAAAATATTAAAGTATCATATGTATCTATAATATATATCTAACAAGGTATTAAAAATAATTTGCAAATTATTTCAATAAATTCTCCTAAGGGACACGTATCCAATGGTATTTGTACATATACTAAAATTGCCAAGATTGGTAATTACATTCTTCTACATAAAAGTTCACTACGGGAAACTTTGGGGAAGGGAATCATGTTAAAATCTGAGCAAATCCCATTCAAGTGGTGAGCAACAAATAACTCTCATTTTTACTTCATTCAAATAATACCCATAGTTCTCTTATCCATTCACATCACAAAAATATGTTAAGTAGATTGATAGAGCCTTAATTGCTAAATCACAATTCTTCTTGCTATCAGAACAAAAAGTCAAAGTTAGGTTAAAATAGAAAATAAAATGCAATGCAAAAATTATATAAAAGAAAAAAGTGATTTACTAGTTTTACTATTTATAAAAATATAAAGAATAATAATGTATTGATTAGACAAAAAGTAATAAAAATTACCAAGTCATGCAAAGGAAATGTCTCTTTTTTTTTAATTCCATCTTTCTTTTTCAAAGAAAATAAAATTTAGAATGTATGTTTGAAAGTGAAGGGGATAGAACAAATCAAAATTTGGTGAAAAAAAAACTATTTCATTCAATGCATAATTTCATAAGAGTTTAAAGGAATTTACAATGTCTTAAAAAAACAACAGAATCATTTCCCAGGCTTTACAAAGGTAAATATTTGAGCACAACAAAAATTCTATTTAAAAAAAATTCTATTTTGGGGGCACCTGGGTGGCTCAGTGGGTTAAGCCTCTGCCTTCAGCTCAGGTCATGATCTCAGTGTCCTGGGATCAAGCCCTGCATCAGGCTCTCTGATCAGCAGGGAGCCTGCTTCCCCCTCTCTCTCTGCCTGCCTCTCTGCCTACTTGTGATCCTCTCTCTGTTGAATAAATAGAATCTTAAAAAAAAATAAAAGAAAACTAAAAAAAAATTCTATTTTAAAACTCATATATATAGAAAAAATAATAAGTGAAAAGTTAATAATATTTCAAACATAAAAAAGAACATTATGGTTATAAATAGGCAATTCACTAAATAGGAAACACAAGTAGCAAATAAACACTTTTTTATAAAAAGATGCCTAGTCACAACAATAATCTGGGTATCCACAATAAATATCATTAAGATACCAAGCAAATCCACCTCAAGTGCAAAAGGAAAAGAGCCTCACAATCACAAATGTTGGTGGTAATATGAAGAAACAGGGGTATTTATATCTGGCTGGTGAAAGTATACATTACCACAGCGACTTGGGAGTGCAGTTGGGCAACTTGTAGTAAAATTAAGGAGGTAAATATCCTCAGACACAACAATTGCACTTTTAAGTATATGTCCTACAAAAACTCTCACATATCTGCATAAGGAAACCAGTACAAGATGTACAATGTAACACTGTTTATAACAACAATAAAAAATGCAAAAGCTTTGCATTTCAAAGGAAATTAGATGATGAAACTGAAGAAATGCTTTTAAAATTTACAAATGACATTAAAATATGAATGCAAAGACAAAATCACAGAGCAAAAAATATCAAAGCTCAAAGTTACATTGGTAAGCAAATTTGCTCATCTGAATTGAACATGAGATCAGCACTTATAAGTAATATATATGGAATAAGCATATCTATGTAATCAGAAAACATTTTAAAGTCAATCACTTAAAGTGATAATGAATACATAGAAAATGTGTTATTTTGTGCCTTTGCTGTACAAAAGAATTTCATTAGTTGAAATAAACAGGAAAAAAGGACAATAAGGTTTCTCTGAAAATATTTAATAAAAACCACTGTTATACAAATATAAAATAAAATAGTGACAAAGTTTCTCATCATACTTTTACCCAATCTACTCACCAAGTCTTAGTGTTAACTTCATACTTATAAAGATCATCTACCAATCCATATTTATTGCCTGGTAATGCTTTATAGCCTCCATGAACATAAATGGACTTTGTTATTTCATCATACACACTGGTATGGCCATATCCACCTTGAACAATAGCTCCTTTAGTTTCTGGAACAAGCCAAGTGTTTGATGCTGTAAATGAAAGAAGATAAACCATGAACTTCAAGGAGTATTTAAAAATATAACTAATATATCACCAAACTACCAATAAGCAAATTCTAATAGCAAATTTTATGAGTAAAGTAAGTATAATTAATATTCATTTAATCAAAAAACAATTATTAAATAGATGTTAGTTACTATGTTAGATGCTAGAGATTAAAGTTGATTAAGACTGGTTTTTCTGTGGATTAAATTCTGAAATATTAAAAATGCCAAATTTGGGGATGTGCAACAGGAAAAGGAAAATTTTATTCTCACATACATTTCTGTATTTATAAACAGCCCTGAGAAAAAGACTAACAAATAGTTTGAAGAAAGCCACCAAAAGTTTAAAAGTTGATAAGTGGAACAAAATGGTATAGACTCATTTCTTCCTCTCCCCCCAATTAAGTACAACAACAGACACTGGAAACAGTGCAAAAGACAAATCTGAAAAGTGTAAAGGAAGACTGGTTACAGACTCCAGGACTAGATCAATGAAATACAAGCAAGAAAGAAATAAAGAAACCCACACCAAGGAATAGCATTAAGTAATAAAGATGTACAACCTGAAAAACAAAAATAAGAATTACAACTAATTTCTTAACAGAAAGAATGTAAGTCAGAAGACAACAGAGTCTCACATTTTTAAACTACTCCAAAGGTGTAAAAAAAAAATCTGTCAACCTAGAATTCTCTACCAAAAAAAAAGTAACTATCCAGATAGAATTCTATACCCAACGAAGTATTTTCCAAAGATGAAACAAAACTTTTTCAAACAAAAAAAAAAAAGAGTGAGAGATAATGTACTACTCCAGACTTGCTCTACAAGAGATGACAAAAGAACTTCTTCAAGCTGAATGAAAATAACAGTCGATACCAGACAGAACTTAGATTAATATATATGAATGAAGACTACAAGAAAGGTCACTAGGTGGGTAAATATAAAAGACATAATTTCTCCTTTTTTTGTCTCCCTAAAATGATAAATTATTTTCTAAAACAAAAAGCGTAACAATTTATGATGATATTCATAACATATGAGACATAATATTAGAACAAAGGAAAAGAGAAGAAATACAGGAAATTCAGAGGTTCTAACACTATATGTAAAGTGGTACAACATTATTTAAAGGTAGAATATCATAAATTGAAAATGTATATTATAATCCCTAGAGCAACCTCAACAAAAATAAGACAAAAAGGTATAGTTAATAAATTAATGGTCCTACAGATTCAAGAAGCTGAAAAAATCACAAACAAGTCAAACTGAAAGAAATCTAGACCTAAACACATCACAATCAAGCTGCTGAACACTCAAAATGAACAAAACATCTCAGAAGCGGTTAGAGAAAAACAAAAATTACATTTTGAATGACTGTGATTTTCATCCTAAGAAACCACAGAGGCCAGAAGAAGTACCAACACTTTTTAAAATGCCAAAAAATAAATGTAACTCAGAACTCCATGATAAGCAAAGCTATCCTGCAGGGATGATTGTGAAATAAAAAGATCCTCAGATATTAAAAAAAAACAAGATAATCTATATCCAGCAGATCTACTCTAAAAGACATGCTAAAGAAGCTGTTCAAACAGATGATAACAGAAATGGTAACAGAAGATAACTTGGAATGAAGGCAGACAATTTCCTGAAAATTCTAATTATATAAATACCTAATAACAAAACATCTAAATGTATGAAGCAAAAACTGATAGAACCGAAAAATTCAATACTTAAATCCACAACCATAAATGGAGGTTTCTACACTAGTCTTTTAGTAACTAAGGAAAACACTAAACAAAATACCAATATTGAACAACTCCAATCATCATCATGCATTTGGCATTCATAGAACACCCCAACCAACAGCAGCAGAAGACACACCCTTTTTAATTGACACTTAACATTCACCAAGATAGACCATATTCTCAGAAGACTCACAAAAATTTTAATAGCAAAATATAGTCTCTGACAACAGCTAAATGAAATAAGAAATAATGACAAGAAAGAGACCTGAAAAATCTTCATCTATTTGGATAAAACTCGATAATACTAAACAACCTAGGAGCCAGGAAAAAAAAAAAATCACAAAGAAAATTAGAAAATACTTTGAATTAAATGGAAACAAAAATACATTTCACTATGCAGGAGGAGAGAGCTTAAGCAAACACTCTCAAGGATGGTTCCTTGACAGCAGCAAATGACATTACTTAGAAACTTTTTAAAAAATGGAAGTTTCTTGGCATCAATACTCACATACTAAGAAAATCAGGGGTTAGGACACAGCAATCCATTTTAACAACCATCCAGGTGATTCATAATTATGTATATTAAAGTTTGAGAACCATTAGCTTAGAAAGAAATTTATAGCAATAAACACTTATATTTTTAAAAAGAAGGAAAATGTCTCAACCAATTCAATGATCTATTCTTCCACAGAGTGAATAAAACCCAAATAAGGAAAGAAATATGATAAATAGAGCATTAATCAATAAAAATAGAAAAAAAGGAAACAAAAGCAAGTTATTTGAAAATATCAATAAATTTGTTTAACCTATTAATCTCTAGTCAAACTGACAAGAGAGGACACAAATAATTCATATCAGATATCAGATATCATTATACATTTTACAAACATTAAAAAGAAGAAGAGAAAAATAAGAGAAAAAGAAAAGAATTCATGCCAATAAATTTAACACAAACTACCAAAGCTCACCCACAAAGAAATGGGTAATTTAAATATCTCTAACATTTGTTAAAGAAAATAAATGCAGTAGTCAAAATCTTTCTGACAAAGAAAGCTCATGAACCAGACAGTTTCACTGGTGAGTGCCATCAAAAATTTAAGAAAGAAATAATACCAATTCTACACAAACTCTTACAGAAAATAACATAGAGTAAAACACACCCCAAATTACTTTATCATTATCCAGATTGCAAAACCAGACAAAGACTATAAAAACAGAAAACTATAGTCCAGTATCTCTTCTGAACATAAACATAAAAATCCTTAACATTTTAGCAAATCAATTCCAGCAATATATGAAAAAGATAATACATTATGACCAATGGGATTTACCCAAGAATGCAAACATTATTTAATGTCTGAAAATCAATGTCATTTACCACATTAAGAGATGAAAAAAAAAATGATCTTCTCGATAGATGCATAAAAATTCTTTGACAAAATTAACATCATTGATGAAAAAGACTCTTGGTGAACTCAGAATAAAAGTGGATTTCCTTCACCACATAAAAAGCATCTAGAAAACATACCACTAATGTAATAATTAAAAGACTGGAACTTTCCCTCTTAACAGGAAAAAAAGGCAAAAATAGCTGCTTTCACTACTCCTACTCAGTACTGTACCAGAGATACTGCCACAGCAATAATACAAAGAAAACAAGGCAAAGGTATGCAGACTGAAAAGGAAAAATAAACAAAATTTATTATCATAGTTTTAACACATGATCATCTATCTATGTAGAAAATAAGGACTCTGCCAAAAAGCTCTAAGAATTAATAACTGTGTTTACCAAAGTTGCAAGATACCAGTTCAATATGAAAAATCAACTTCTTTCCTATTTACTAGCAATCAACAATTGTAAATTGAAATTTTAAGTGCCATTAACAGGCAAACATGACAATCATTACACTACACAAATACCTGCAAAACATCACTTACAATAACACAAAAATTTTAAATATTTAGGTATAAATTTAGCAAACTACGTGCAATACCAGTACACTAAAAACTAAACAACATTGCTGAAAAATTTAAAGAAGACCTAAGTAAATGCTGAAATACACCACGCCCATGAGTTAGAAGAATATTACTAAAGACTTGATTTTCCTCTCTGTACACATAATTCAACCTCAATTAAAATTCCTACAAGGTTTTTTTTTAAGAAATCAACAAGCTGATTCTAAATTTTATATGGTAATGTTAAGTACATAGAATAGTCCAAAATTTTTTGGAAAAAAAAAAAAAAAAAAAACAACAAAAAAAACACAGGACTTACACCGCCTCAATTATAAAGCCACAGTAGTCAATGAAGTGTGGCTGTATACATTAATGGATCAAAAGAGAGTCCAAACATTAACTCATATGGTCAACTGACTTTTCAACAGATCTATCAATGGGGAAAGGAAAATCTTTTCAACAAATGTTACTGGAAAATTTTTATATTTATTAAACAAACAAAAAAACCCTCACCCCTTACTTCATACTCATACCATTTGTGAAAACCAACTCAAACAGATGATAGATCTGAGGGTAAGAGCCAAAACTAAAACAGCTAGGAGAAAAACCTTTGTGACCTTGACAAAGATCTCTCAGGATAGAAAACCTAGACACCATAAAAACTTATGATATAGTTTATACAAATTTAAAATAACTGCTTTTTTAAAGACACTGAAAAGAAGAAATGCATATTTTTAAAAAACAGTTTTAAAAACCTGAAAATAATGAATATCAATATAAAGAAAGGGGGAAAGCTTAACAAATCAAAATATATTAAAAGGAGGGAATAATAAAAGAAATAAATAGACAAAAAATATACAAAAAAATCAGTAACTCCCAAAGTTAGTACTTTGAAAAGTATTAATACTTATAATCTTCTGGAGAATCCACACAAGACAATAAGGTCCAAATAAGCCATTATTATGGACCTAAAGGGAGCACAGCTATAATATCTTCTAAACCTCACTAACAGCATGTAACAATAATAACAACAATAACAATCATAACAAACCTTTAGGTCAATACACTTGAAAATTTAAATAAAATAGACAAATCCTGAAAAAATAATCAAATGCTAACTCTGACAAGAAGAGAGAAAAAACTTGAGTAGCTTTATAACTATTAGATTAATTGAACCTGTAATTTTAAAGCCTTGCCACCAAGAAAATTCCAAACTCAGATGGCTTTGCCAATTTCTACCAAACAGCTTTGGGAAAAGTATTAACAACTAAAAGTCATCCAGACAA